TTAGGGAAACTGGAACTTCCAAGGACCAGAACACAGCAAGTGACTCGAAATGGTGTTTATTGTTAACAGTTAGCTTTCTTTCTTAGGTACAAACTTTATGTTTCAACAGGGAAAACCACTTTATAAACTCTAAGTCCAGGGTCCTAGGAGTAATAAGCTGAGAAGCTTTTCCTGTTCCCTCTCTCTCAATGGCTATGGATGCCGGAGCAAACCACAACCCCAGTTCAGTGGCCTAAGTTGAAGGACAAAACCTTCCTATGGTGCCAAAGAACTGGTGTGAAGGCGCCTGAGATCTTCACAATTCTATTCAGGGTGATCTGAACATAAAGAATAAGACTCAGGGGTAAAAACCTAAGAGTTGGTAGTAAAAAATGCCTTGACCAGGGGCTTTGGGCCAAGCTTTTGGACACGTCCATCCAATGAGTCTTTTTCTGAGGTAAAAAAGGTGAGAGAGAAACCTTCCCTTTCTCCCTTGGAAGGGGCGGAGCCTAAACAACTGAACTGGGGAAACAAACCAATTGGTGCACAACAACAATAAATTGACAGCTATAGTAACCAATGAAATTTAACTATACATGTACAAGGTAGACAGAAATAAAATGGCAGTTTAAAATCCTGCAACTAACAGTTCTAAATATATGTGGCGCCACACGCGCCGTCACAGTTAGAGCTGTGGAATTCACAGAACTACACATCTCATGATCCCATACAATGGAGCCATGGGAGTTGAAGTGGTAACAAAATACCATAACTGTGAGTGTAAAGGTCTCCCAGGCTTCCTTCCTAATGATGGGATTTCCTCAGCCATATTTGGAGAAGGGTGGGATGGGGATGAGCTGTAGGCCCAAACGTAAGGGCTGCACAGGGTTCTTGAGGAGGTGAGTAGGCACCTAAAGAAATGTTAGGAAATATTAAGTAATATTGTTTTTCCTACTCAAAGGAAGTGGGGTACAATTTGTACATTTGGATTCCTCTTTCAATTTTAAAAGCAATCTTTCAACACATCAACTACCATAATTCCAACCAGGATTAGTCAATGGGATCCCAGGGTTCATGTTTTGTCTTGAAGATGAAGGAAACTCTCCAAGATGCTGAACCTATATGAGGGTAGGATTCAGCACTTGAGATTGCTCACTGAGGGGAGCCAACCTGTTCCTGGATGTTACAGATCTCTTTTAGCATTTGATTTCAAAGCAGGGAGTGCAGCTAAAATGACCTCCCATTGCTTTTGCGTTTTAAGCCATTTCTAGGTGTTCTAACTCACAGATTCGAATCCTGGGAGAGTACAGATGAGCTCCCTCTGTCAGCTCCAGCTCTCCATGCCGGGGCATGAGAGAAGGCTCCCACAAGGATGGTAAAACATCAAAATATCTGGGCGTCCCCTCCTTGCACACGGCCAATTCTCTCACACCAGAAGTGACTTGCAGTTTCTCAAGTCGCTCCTGACACGAAAAAAAAACAAACAAAAACAAAACTCTGAAGTAATTCAAGGATGATAGGGACTTGCAATCTCTAAATATAATGTGTGCGATATTGCGACTGGACTGCAACTCCAGTCATTCCTCATAGTTGGCTATGCTAGTTGGTTATGCTGGTAGCTGCAAGGTGACAGTATCTGTACACTGCTTGAACAGTCCGTGGAAAAGTTACATTTTTGTACTGAAACTCTACATCAACTTTGACAGCTGCAAATGTCTGAGAGTTGTAGTACCAAAACACAACTTTCCCAAGCATGGCAAATGGAGGGACAAACAGAATGAGATAAAGGATGACAAAAATCTATATAATAAATCTTACATTTCTTCTACTTCTAGGGAAACACAAAGTAGGTAACACCCATGCACTGGGGGCCCCCAGTGGCGCAATGGGATAAACTCTTGTGCCGGCAGGACTGTGGACCGGTCAGCAGTTTGAATCTGGGGAGAGTGGGCTGAACTCCTTCTGTCAGCTCCAGCTCCCCATATGGGGACATGAGAGAATCCTCCCACAAGGGTGGTAAAACATCAGAACATCTGGGCGTCACCTGGGCAACATCCTTGCAGACAACCAATTCTCTCACACCAGAAGTGAGTTTCTCAAGTTGCTCCTGACACAGAAAAAAAAATCCATGTACTTTTGGAACTGCTTAGATCAGTTAACTCCATACTCAGAAGTCTCAGCTGCCTTGTCAGGGATTCTGAGAGTTGAAACCCAAAACACCCGGAAGACCAGAGTTTGTAAAACCCTGGCTTGTTTCAGATCAAAAAACCAAAGAATCTTGCAGAGAAAGAAGGGCTGTTAATACCTGGAGGGGCTGGCAGCATTCCTCCTCTCTCTATGCCCTTACACACCTCCTTTGCCTTTCTTCATCCCTCTTCCTCCTCTGCCAAGCCACTGCTTCTCCTAATCTTCAGGGGGAGGGAGCCTTTTGTGACCCCAATATGAAGCTAATGGGACCCCATTATTAAGTGGGGCCCCACAGTTTAAGAAGCCCTGTTCTAGAATGCTTAATCTCTGTAATTGTTCTGAAGATTTCACAATAAAATGCTGCTTGAGTTACATTATTTTTCTAAATTCACTGATGTTTTTTCTTGCTATGCTCCAGCTACAACATTGCTGGTTATGAAAAAGTGAACTTGTCTTCTACTCTATTAATGTCCTCCAACTGGGTCTGCAAGAGGATATCCACTAGTGCATTAAAAATTCAAGGAATATTTGCATAAGATTGCACCGCTTCTTTTGTTATTTTGAGATGATATGTTCTGGAAATCCAGAGAATCTCTGGAATGAGATTTCAACCTCCCTAGTGTTTTATATATTTATTCTTCTTTTGGGGAATCAAAAACCCAAAGATAGCTTGTTATGAGATCATGTAACCAACAACATTCCTGAGAAGCAGTCATATCATTCTGTTGCAGTCAAAACAATGAAGAATGCGGTAGCATCAATTTGTGACCAAGGCTTTCCTATTATCTGAGCTGCAATCCTGTGTGTATCTAGGCCCATTCAAGCCCTGCTAAACTCAATGCGAGTTATTTAAAATAGTAATAAAAGGCAGCAACTTGGACACAAAATTGAGATTTAAGCACTTATGGTATTTCTAGCAAATGTTCACAGCTCCTGGGAATTGCTCGGCTTAACACATTACTCAGAGCATTATTGTGCATCTCTTCTGGGAATTTGTCTGAAAGTATGAAAGACCACCTGAGGAAGCCATCCAGAGCATCACTGTCAGAGATCATTGTTATCATGTTTGGAATCAGGCATAAATTTTACTGAACACAAGAGGTAGAATAAAAGTTAAGTTATTCTTGTTTAATTTTAACTACTTTTTTAAATTTAATTTTTATTGAGAATAAAACAGATTCAAGAAAAGAGAGGGATAATTTTCCTTTACATAAAAAGTGGGGGAACAATAATGTTAAGCCTTTCTGCTCCTTAAAAATATTTCCAGAATACTGCAGAACAAAATACACGAAATGAATAATCATAGCAGGCACGTTGAAAACAGCACCTACTGCATTCTTTCTTTAATCCTTCAAGCAAACAAATGCCTACTAATTTGTCAGTAGAGCATACCATTTTGGGCACTCTGAATAACTAGGATTTAATGAGGTATTGACTGGCTTATAGTGACATGGGAAACATTTTTTGTCCAAGCTGTGTCAGGGAAGGAGACTTCAAGGAGCTACTTAAGAGTAGTTTGAGATGGAAAAATACCCAACTCCTGCCATTTTTTTCATGTTAGGAGTGACTTGAGAAACTGCAAGTTGCTTCTGGTGTGAGAGAATTGGCTGTCTGCAAAGATGTTGCCCAGGGGACGCCCGGATGTTTTTGATATTTTACCATCCTTTTGGAAGGCTTCTCTCATGTCCTCACATGGGTAGCTGAAGCTGACAATTGGGAGCTCATCTGCACTCTCTCTGGATTCGAACCTCCAACCTGTTGGTCTTCAGTCCTGCCAGCACAAGGGTTTAACTCACTGCATCACCAGGGGCGCTTCCATGTAGTTAGAACATGTGATAGGAGCTGTCTGCAGAGCATTGCTTCTTAAACTGTGGGTCCTGACTCCAAATAGCTCAATCTTGGGGTCCCAACAGATTTGGCTACAGGAAAATGTTTCTGAATGTCACCTAGTGGCTGTTTTAGACATTTACACAGATCTGTTTTACAGTGTTTAGAAGGATTCTGCAAAATATGTTTCAGCTGTACTTCATAAAAAGGAAAATGAACCTGTTAAGCAAGCTTTCCAAACGGTGATTTGTTAGCAGTAAATGTTTGACTTTTAAACCCATTTATAAACCTATATACCTGGGGTCACATAAAAGTTTCGCAGGTGTAAAAGTTGAAGAAGCCCCAATGTCTAGTTCCCTAACCTGTAAACAAAGCAGGATGTTAATTTACTTTAGTCATCCCAATGTTTTGGTTCACAGCCCCTGACAGCCTCTTTCTTGTTCTGCCAACTAGGTAATGTATGGCATTTCAGCCAAGAAGAAACCAACAATTAACCATTAGCGTGCATTCTCCGCAATTACTGCACTGATAGGGACATGGATCCTCTTACAGAAATCTAGTTTATATTTGGCTTGGATTTAGAATGGGAAGCCTCGTGCCTATTTCACTGCAAAGCATGTAGGGAATGTGCAAACTTGTCACAAAAGGTCTTCAAGAAATGTCCCAAGAAACTGAGGTTGCATTTACACAATAGAGTTAGTTCAGTTTGATATCACTTTAGCTGGCATGGCTCAATATTATGGAATCCTGGAATTTGTAGCTTGAGACACCTGTACTCTTTGGCACAGGAGGCAAAAGATTAGAACTCCTGCGATTCCATCGCATTGAGCCATGGTAGAAAAGTGGTGTCAAATTGCATTAATTCTACAATATAGATGCACCCAGTCTCTGAAAAGTGAGCTATCCTATAACCATGAAAATGTTTCCATGTGATTTGCTTGTTGTGTGTCAAATTGGCATGGCTTCGTATACAGTGTCAATAGAAAAATTCTATATAGCATTCAATGTAGACTTCAGTAACCTTTATTGCATTATAAAAAACAGTAGTGAAACATTTATTTTCCTTTGCTCTGCAAAATAAGCACTACAAATGGCAAATATTCAAATATTCAAATTTAAAATACAAAGAACATCTTTGGTAAATAAAATATCTGATAGTATCTGATAAGTTTCCCTTTATAAAGAGTCAGCTTATAATATTATATATATTGTTTGTTCTTATTTACAATACAATATGCTTCGACTTTAATGAGAAGCCTATATGCTGCTCTGGTATAATCAGTCAATACAAAGGACAACCATTGACATTTAAACAGCAAAGCATTTTCAGCACTCTTACACTTGTCAAAATCAGAGATTGCCAACGTATTTTGCAACTTCTTTAGCATGCGTGAGATGACCTTAGATTTTCCCATCTGGCAGCACTATTGATCTAATAACAAAGAGTAGGATTTCTCAAAACTTGGCATCGTGCAAAATGACCATGGAGAATATGCCAGGAGGAGGATTTTGTGAACCTTTGATTCACAAAATGTACAACTCTGCCAGTTCCTTTGCTAGCTGGGGGTTCAAATCTATATTAGAGAATAATAGCACTTTGATGCCACCTTCTGTCCTATGAAATCCCAGAGTTCGTAGTTTGATGAAGTTCTTAGAAATTTCTGCTAGAAGGCTCTTTGCAGTGGTTCCCAACCTGTGGGTCCCCAGGTGTTTTGGCCTACAATTCCCAGAAATCCCAGCCAGTTTACCAGCTATTAGGATTTCTGGAAGCTGAAGGCCAAAACATCTGGGGGCCCACAGGTTGAGAACTACTGCTTTATGGTGTTTGCAATTTTTCAGGACACAGCCATGGTGTTTAAAGCATCATTATCTCACAATATTGCAGTTTGGAGAGAAAGGTCATCATCCATTCCAGTTTACCTTCTATGCTCATGTTCCCCTCTCACTGGGGGAAGTTTTGTTTCTGCCCACGAGTTAACCACTCAGAGGTTGGAAACGAGACTTCTAGCACAGGATAATGACATTAATGCAGTTTAGTGTTTGATCATCTAAATCCATTCAGGAACTATGTGCTGATTTCCATTGGCATTCATAAGAATAGAAGTGTTTTGAAACGGATATAAAAGCTTTTTTAAACCAATGTGTTCCATTTTGGAATCTAGACAAAGCAAGTGAAATAGTACGAGTGGAAAAGACACATGAATGGCAGGTTTGGCCCCCAATTTGCAGTTACGATCATTTTCACAAATCACATTTGCCTGTGGGTAGCAGATCCTAGCAATTTTTAAAATATACACATACAACATTTACCAAACCTCCCTACATTTCCTGTTGTGCAAAACTGCGCACAGAACTGAGCGCAGCCAGTCTTTTTGGAAAATTGTAACTTTTTGTAGATTTTTTTTGTGTCAAGAGCGACTTGAGAAACTGCAAGTCGGTTCTGGTGTGAGATAATTGGCCACCTGAAAGGACGTTGCCCAGGGGATGCCCGGATGTTTGATGTGTTCCCATCCTTGTGGGAGGCTTCTCTCATGTCCCCACATGGGGAGCTGGGGTTGACAGAGGGAGCTCAACCTGCTCTCCAAGGTACTGAACTGCTGACCTATTAGTCAGCAGTTCTGCCGGCACAAGGGTTTAACCCATTGCACCACTGGGGCCCCCATTTTTGTAGTTTACATGATGCTGTTAAAACTGAAGCTATTTTGAAACTCCAGAAAACCATAATGATTCAGTGTCACTTAGGACCAGTTTCCCCACATTTTACAAGACTACATCATGCCCATTAAATTTTTATATTTGGTAACATTTCAAAGATGATTAGGAAGAAAAAGAATTTCCTCCCATTTGTTTTGAAGGTGCTTTTTATAGAGGGCTAGTTCTTTTAAGTTGCTCTTGTGACAAAAATGACTCCTGTAATAACTTTCCAGCATAAGTATACAGCCAGGCCATTAAAGGCTGTTGTTCTAGCTTTAAGAATTCCTAAACAAAGCATAACAGCACATCTAATATCACCAAGCTCAAGACAACCAGAAGTGGCTATTCTTCTGTATGCTATGCTAAACAAATTTATTTTAGTACCACTAAAAATACAGAAGATGAATTCTGTATCTGATGGTGAACTCAACATACTGTACAGTACAACCCCTGTAGCCACTGGGGATACAATCCAAGCCATAAACACATACTCTATGGAGACATAAAACTGTGAATAATACAGAACCATACATTTTGATTATAATTAGACTGGAATCATACTGGAGGATCTAGCGAGGCCTCAAAACACTTGGGGAGGGGTTTTTTTTTGGAGTGTGGATAAGTGAAACTGTGGCTATTGAATCAATGGATAAAGGGGTTGTACTGTATCTTATTTTTTAATCTGTTAAATTTGCTGGAGAGAACACAAAATGCCACCTGAAAAAGGAAGACTAGAACATACAATAGTAAAAAGTTGGAAAAGTTACTTTTGAACTAAAATTCTCAGAATCTCCCACCCATATGGTGGTCACAAGATGCTTACATTCACACATAAAATGCCTTTTATTCACAAAGCATTGGTAACTGCCTAAAAACAAACCAAGTAACTGGACAGTCTTGTTTCCTAATCCATTAGGTTCATATTGTTTGAAAAGGGAGAGAATCTGAGAAGTGAGAGAGCTATAAATTTTAAGATAGTGAAAGAAAGTAACTTACTGAAATGTATGGCAATTCCGATTAATTGGAAAGAGCCAGAATTTGACACAACGGGATATTACTAGTCAAACTACACATTAAATGTGATTGCATCAAGTGCTTCATTCTTCGATACACACTGATGGTCATAAACTACTTACGCTTTACATTTTCTTATTGTAGAAGACAATGCAACAAAGACATAGTTCTCTGTGTAATTCCTAAACATGCATCCATAATATTTTTATATGATACCGTTCCTAAACAAATGGTTTATGAGTGCAGTTATTGGTGAACACCTTAGGATTTTTATAGCACCAGTGCACAGGTTTACATGAATCTGATCTGCAAAATTCAAAAATGTCAACACTTAAGAAAAAGTACAGGTCTGTATGTATGTTTAGAGTTAGAAGTGCCAGTAACAATTTTGTAGGAATGTTCAGAAAAGTAATATGTTGGCAGCAACACAAGTGGAAGAGAACACACACTCATGTCTCCACATGTCTACCCACAATGGAGAGCATTTGTTCAATTTTTGGATGCCAAAGAATTGCTAATGGCATCTTCCCAACCCCAGAGATGGACAGCTACTTCTTGTCTGAAAAAAAACCAACCCTTGCCATTTGACCCATTTGAAAGTGAGATGGTATAAAAAGGACTCCAGATGTAGCATAATAGGCAGAAGCTGGAAGAGGGGGTTGTGGATGGCCATTTTTCAATGTAGTATTATGACCTGTTGTGTTTGGGGGAGCAAGGAGCATGAGCAAGCCATGGGAGGGCTCCAAGCAACATGTGGCTAAAACTCTACACAATCCTTGGCCCTTTCCACACATCTGAATAAAATCTCACATTATCTGCTTTGAACTGGGATATATGACAGTGTGGACTCAGATAAACCAGTTCAAAGCAGATATGGTGGAATTTTCTGCCTTGATATTCTGGGTTATATGTCTGTGTGGAAGGGCCCCTAGACTACATGAAGAGATGTCACGTCAGCGATACTGACAAAAATGGTTTTGGAGAAATTTATGCAAAAGTTGGGTGTTTCCCTGCCTTCCCTCTGCACCTCAAATTAGCTTTCCTTTCTTCCAGTATCTGAAATTACTGATAATTTATTATGTTCTTTCTAGAAATATTTTAGGGAGTCACCAAGTGCTTTAAACATTCCCTGGCAAAAAGCACCAGAGTGAAATTTTGTCAGAAGCAAACACAACTGCTTGTCAAACTGACATGTTGCACTTCGGTGTTGTTTCTTTTTATCCAAGGATATAATAAGAACACACAAACAATAAGCATGGATTCTTCTGGATTAAAAAAACCCTTAACCAAGTATAATCAATTTGGCAATGCCAAACAGCATTAAGGAAGCAATATATATCATGCTGAAAGGCTGAGGGTGAACGAAAGGTAGTCCTCTCTGTATTGAAAGATGTGCTTCTCTGACAGCCACCATCATCTTCACATAGTTGACCTCTGTGCAGCTTCATCGAGTATGGGATTTCGCTTTCTAGCGGCAGCCTCACCGTTGGCCTCTACAGCAGACTCATCAGCCATAACCAATCCCTCTCCATCATAATCCAGTCTCCCCATGTTTTGCTGTGGTGTTGAGGTTTGTTCTGCTGGGCGCTTCCAGTGTGGCCTTGTTACCATCCACAACACAAACACACCAAAGAGCACAAGGATAACCCCAAGGGTGTTGACAACGAGAGATTCATCAGGGAAATCTTGGTACCGAGGTCCAGGTATTTTCCTGGTGGGAAAGAGAATGACCACAAAATCAGAATGAGCAAGGTTATTTGAAACATGCACATGGGAAAAATTGACGCGAAAAATACTTACAAAGAAAAAATCAGCTTTTCCGTAATTCCCATGAGCGCTGTGGCAATCACAGATCCAAAGAGGAAAAGGCCCGAATAAACATGTATTGGCATAACGAATGCCCGAACAGAAGCAGGAGCAAAGGGAAGCAGGAAGACTGCCAAGCCTACAAGGAGCTAAACACAGATAATATTATTTTGTTTTGTTTTCAAATTCTATTTAAACACAAAGAATCCTTAAGCAGGCGTGTCAAATTCATTTTCATTGAAGGCCACATCAGCCTCATTGTTGCCTTCAAAGAATCAATGGATAGAGAGGACCAACCGTGTGTGTGTGTGTGTGTGTGTGTGTATAGTAAAGCTAAAGGTTTCCCCTTGACATTAAGTCTAGTCATGTTTGACTCTGGGTGGTGGTGCTCATCTCCATTTCTAAGCCCTGAATGGTTTGGGACCCGCCTACGCATTTCCATCTACGAACCCACGCGACCTCTTCAATCTTCCAGAGAGGCCCCTCTCACTCCCGCCTTCTTTGCAAGCGCAACTTACAGGGACGAGAGAGAGGGCCTTCTCTGTGGTGGCCCCCCAGCTCTGGAATTTGCTCCCCAGAGATATTAGGCAAGCCCCCACCCTGGCAATGTTCCAATGTGCCTTCAATGATTGAATGTATGGCAATCCCTGACCAAACTCTGCACAAAAATGCCCTCAGAAGCACTTTATTTCTTGGTTTGTGCAATTGAATCCTACCTTATCCCCGGATCACCTTCCTGATATATAACACTACCTTATCTCCCAGTGTTTCAAAATTTTAATCTTGAATCTAGCCCTGCCCATTGTGATCATTTTAGTGTTTAATGTTTTGTTTTACATTGATGAGTTGTTATATTTATATTGGTTTGGTATTTTATGTTGTTTTATTTTCTGATTTTCTGTATTGTTTCTTGTGTTATATTGAGTAACTATTGATGGGCGTGGCCTCATGTAAGCCACCCCGAGTCCCCTTGGGGAGATGGTGGCGGAGTATAAATAAAGTTATTATTATTATTATTATTATTATTATTATTATTATTATTATTTATTAAGCCAAAGAGCCAGTGTTGTCCACAGACACCTCCAAGGTCATGTGGCAGGCAGGACTGCATGGAGCACCATTACCTTCCCACAGAAGTGGTACCAATTGATATACTCACATTTGCATGTTTTTGAACTGCTAGGTTGGCAGAAGCTGAGCCTAACAGCAGGAGCTCACTCTGTTCCCCAGATCCAAACCAGCAACCTTTCGGTCAGCAAGTTCAGTAGCTCAGCAGTTTAACCCACTGCGCCACCAGGGAGCCCATGTATATGTATGTGCATGTGTGTATATGTATATGTAGTGGTTGGTGCTCTTTAGTTTTTACCCAATTTGGGTCCCCAGATGTCACTTAATGACAACTTTCCTTACTTTTGATTATCTGCCAGCGGACTGGGGATAATGGGAGTTGCAACCCAACAGCACTTAATGGGAATTGCAACCCAACAGCAGTTGTGGCCGTGAGGTTGGGGGAAGGTTAAAGGACATTTTAATGTCAGTATTATCATTGAGAGCTATACAAGTACAGATAGATGGGGACAAGACGGTGGCACTATGAAAGTGAGGCTGAAAACCCAAGATATCCAAGAGACTGGTGTGTCCTGTAACTCCGTAGAGCACAAAAGTAAACAAGAACCAGAGTATCAACTCACAAGAGGTGTGACTTTGACCCTTTCTCAATGTATTAACAGATAAAGCAAGGTTAACAGTGTTCAAACATATTTAAAGGATACATTATTTCCAGCAATAAGCTAGCTACTCCTAGTTCTTTCAGAGCCTACTTCTGACAATGTAAACTCTGCCAATGAATTTGAACTCAGTTTCAGCACACCAGAAAGTCCCCCTCACATGTTTCTTGTTCCTGGTTGCATGTTGCAAACAGCCAGGGAAATTTATTTTAATCTATTCCTCATAATATTAAACTAAGATGTTCTTGAAATCATAATTCTTTTCCTTTGCTGGTAATCAAACAATGCTCATCACCATACAGTTGCCTTCCTAACATGATGCTTTCTATGGGTCACTTGGCTGTGGAGGACAAAAAATATAGTCTAAGGCTGGATCTACAATGACATATAATACAGTTTCAGAATGCAGATTAAACACATTGAACTGGATTATACGAGTCTATACTGGCATATAATCCAGATCAATGCAGTTAATCTGTTGGTGCATGTAAAAATCAGCTGGTGAGTGTGTTAACTGAAAAATGCAAAGCACAAAGCTGATTGGTTGGGCTATGCCCGGGGTGCTAGCTGAGCGTGGGAGTTTTGGCAACAGTTACATGTTTAGGTTTTCTGCGCAGGAGCTGCTGGAAGAAAATCCATCACATGGACACCCCAAAAGAACATTTGAATCTCTCCTAAAGGACGTTGTGTGAGTCAATGCATCTGTTCACATGACTGCATATATGTTGCTCTGCATAACAAAGAGTAAATTATCTTATTCTTTACTGATCATCTATGTGGCATATCTTTTTTCTAGCAAGACAGTGGGTGGATTGCTAAAGACATGAACTATGCATGGTCTAAGGCTGGATCTACAATGATATATAATACACTTTCAGAATGCAGATTAAATGCATTGAACTGGATTATATGAGTCTATACTGCCATATAATACAGCTCAATGCAGTTAATCTGCATATTGAAACTACATTATATGGCAGTGTAGATCCAACCTAATGTCTCTGGAAGACAGCAGAGGCTCATTTACACTACAGAATTGTAGCATTGTTGTTCAATTTCAGCTGCTATGGCAACATCCTATGGAATTCTGGGACTGGTAGTCTGGTGAGGTAATTACTCTGTAGTGTGGATGGTCCAGGATAAAGGAAGGCTGCTATAAAGTACAAAGATTTTTACTCAGACTGCTATTAAACTGTACAAAAACAAAACAACATCCCCAAAAACAAACCAACAGTTGAACGGAGAATATATGTTTGCTTCTGTCTAGTTTCATAAACAGAGCCATGCAAATATTCTTATTATTTACATTAATACAAAGGCAATAACATCATTTCTTATAATAATCTACATAAAAAAATGCTGAAAACCTCTTTAAAGGTGTTTTTTGACATAACAGTCACAACTAATTGTTACAATTATTAAAAATTTGAAATAATGCTCAAATCAGATTTCTTAATAGTGCTATCCTCCTAGCCTCCCATTATCTCCTTTTCCCTCTGTGGCCCCTTACACATTGCCACATAATCCAGAATATCAAAGCAGATAATCCACATTATCTACTTTGAACTGGATTATATGTGTCTACACTGTCATATAATCTAGTGCAAAGCAGATAATCTGGATTTTATATGGCAGTGTACAAGGGGTCTGTGTTTATACCCTGCCTTTTCCAAAAACCAGGGCCCGAAGTATCTTAAAAGAATTAAAAGAAATATAAGTAAGTAAAAACAAAATCATACATGTAAATTGTTGAAAGATTTAAGCAGTATTAAACTGTGTTTATGAGACAGCACCATTGTCCACAAACATTATGAAACTGTTTAACGTTCACTTTAAAGACCAAAAACAGCAGCCACAGAAATGTTAATCGCCCTTGCTCAACAGAGGGAAGTTTGTGTTTTCCTTCCAAGATCTTAGAGTAGAAAAAAACACGCAAAGAAATGTGAAAGAGGAGGGCAAGGGCTGCCTGGATCAAGAAACAATAACAATGGCTTCTTCTATTACTATCACAACATGCTCTTTAACTGGTATGAAAGGAAGGGTGGTGAATGTGCCGTTGTCACTAGAATCCACTGCTCAGCTCAGTCATTTTAAAACGGCATCCAAGCTCAAATAACTAAAGCTCCCTTCATCAGCTACAACCCAGGCTGATGCATTCCTTGTGTCTATCTTTAAATCAAAGAGCCAGCTGCAAACACTAGAGAACTGGGCACTCCTCCACAGATCAACTGACCTGCTTGGAAAGGGAATGAAGAGGAAAAACTCCTCTCCCTTGGTGTGTTTCATCATATAAACACTCTCTGGCACACAAAAATGGGGGGAGGAATAGTGGTGCTACTATTTATTTATTTATTGTGTCAGAAGCAAATTGAGAATATAGTTACTGTATGTATGTGTGTGTGTGTATATATATATATAAACACACACACACACACACATATATATATATTTATATGTATTTATATATGTATTTATATTTATATATATATAAATATATGCATTTATATATATATATAAACAAAGTTAAAAACTTGGCATTATGCTAGATTTCCTTTGAGCAGAAGCTGGCTACTTCAAGTGCCTCTGGTGTTGCTATAAGAAGGTCCTCCATTCTGCACATGGCAAGGCTCAGACTGCATTGTAGTAAGTAGTCCACGGTTTGCTCTTCTCCACACTTGCATGTCATAGACTCCACTTCGTAGCCCCATTTCTTAAGATTGGTTCTGCATCTCGTGGTGCAAGAGCGCAGTCTGTTCAGTGCCTTCCAAGTCACCTAGTCTTCTGTGTACCCAGGAGGGAGTTTCTCATCCAGTAGCAGCCACTGATTGAGGTTCCGGGTTTTATCCTGCCACATTTGGACTCTTGCTTGCTGAGGTGTTCCTGTGAGTATCTCTATAGATCTTAGGAAACTGTTCCTTGATTTAAGTCATTGGCATGCTGTCTGATATCTGAACAGAGGATGGGCCAGAAATGTCACTGTCATGGTCCTTTCATTGCTGGCTCCTACTTCCCAGTGGATATCAGGTGGTGCAATACTGGCTAAACAGTATAATTTCTTCAGCGGTGTTGGGTGTAGACATTCGGTGGTAATGCGGCATGTCTCATTCCACATCCACTGTTTTAACGGATGGGCATGCGTACTCAGCAGCACAGTAGCAGAGCTCAAGGGCAGATGTCTTCACTGTGTCTGGTTGTGATCTCCAGGTTGTGCCAGTCAGCTTTCATATGATGTTATTTCTAGCACCCACTTTTTGCTTGATAGTCAAGCAGTGCTTCTTGTAAGTCAGAGAATGGTCCAGGGTAACTCCCAGGCATTTGGGTGTGCTGCAATGCTCCAGTGGGATTCCTTCCCAGGTAATCCTCAGAGCTTGAGATGTTTGTCTGTTCTTAAGATGAAAAGCACTCATCTGTGTTTTAGATGGATTAGGAATCAGCTGGTTTTCCCTGCTACTACCTGCACGGCATCCACTGGGTGAGTAAATAACTAGAACAGTAGTTCTCAACTGTCATGCCGCAATGCATCCACTGAGTGAGTAAATAACTAGGGCAGTAGTTCTCAATGCGGTCATGCTGGCCACATGACCTTGGAGGTGTCTACCGACAATGCCGGCTCTTTCGCTTAGAAATGGAGATAAGCACCACTACCCAGAGTCGGACACGACTGGACTTATTGTCATGGGGAAACCTTTACTTTTTCTTTAGTTCTCAACCAGTGGTATATGTGCCACTATGGGACACCAAATTAGTTTAATAAGACACAGGGGTTTTAACCCTAGCAATAAAAAGTATTCTCAGCAATACTAATGCATTTTAGAAATAATATTCTTGGTGTTTTATAACTGCAGTAACAAGAAAAAATATGCTCAACAGTGTGTCATTATTAATGGAATTAGTATTATCATATGAGTTTATTGTCAACAACATTACTGCTATATATTTTTTGGTTCTAAAACCTTACCATAAATGTTAAATAAAACAACAGCATGCCTGTTCTCATACGAAAAAGTCATCTGTCAGGGAGTTTGATTTTGTTTCTACTGCTTGATTTGTGAGACTTAAGATAACAAAAGGCTGGGAATCATAGTTTTAGAACCGCACAAGGCTGGCGGGCCTCAACCTGATGAAGGGGAAGCCATGCCTTTCCATCAGGCCAAGGCTTGCCAGCCTTGAACGATTCTAAACTAGTCATTCACGACACCTCCAAAACCTCATTTTTGCTTTTTAAGACCTTTTGAATGAGGCCAGTTGGGAATTTTGTCAATATAATTTGGCGAGTCCACAACCTTGGCCTGATGGAGTGGTGTGGCTTCTCAAATGGCCTCATTCACTTTGCTTGCTTTCCTGGTGTGCTATGCCTGCAACATTGGGCACGTGATATTTGAGGACAAGTCCATTTTTTGCAATGTTTACCTTCAAAATTGAGATGCATATGACATTTGATGGTGGATTGTACTCAAGTAAATAAGGTAATTTCTGAACACTAGTCCTGCTAACCAGGGCTTGTGCATATCCTCTAATATTTCACAGTTGGAAACTAGAACACGTGTGGGCAAGCAGTATCATCAGACTGTGGTCAAAAGGTATGGCCAGACCACAAGTGGGCAAAGTAAGGAAAAACATACACAAATACCATTTGTATACTATGACATAACACTAGGATTGTCAGGTTTTCAAAACAACAATAACTGACTGTCAACATTGATGACATACTGTGGGCAGCACAGCGCAAGATCATCAATTAGGAAGTGGCCATAGAACAGTTGATACCGAATATAAGTGTTCTATAGTTTCCTTCCCCTCCTCACTGAACTTTGCTTATGCAGGATCCATTCTTAAGTAAATGTGGAGCTGACTAATGAACTTGATTAGACTGTAAGATACATTGCCACAAGTTACCTATGTGTCCTTTACCTGCCAAAGTATAATTTTATAACAAAACAGATTTGTTTTTTAGGTGGCTTGATTGGTCTTTTATATTGTTTTATTGTTTTATTTTTTTCTGCTGCCCTGGAGACCAGGATTCAGAACAATGGCTTCAAACTACAGGAAAGGAGATTCCACCTGAACATTAGGAAGAACTTCTTAACCGTAAGAGCTGTTCAGCAGTGGAACTCTCTGCCCCGGAGTGTGGTGGAAACTCCTTCTTTGGAAGCTTTTAAACAGAGGCTGGATGGCCATCTGTTGGGGGTGCTTATTTCTGGTTGTTGCTAATGATGCTTGTCTTACTATTGTTATAATGTTTTTATGTTGTTTTATATTTTATATGCTATGCTGTTAACTGTATGTGTTTGGCTCATGTAAGCCACCCCGAGTCCCTTCGGGGAGATGGAGGCAGGGTATAAAAATAAAGTTGTTGTTGTTGTTGTTTTCCTGCTTCTTGTCAGGGGTTGGACTGCATGGCCCATGAAGTCTCTTCCAACTCTATGGTTTTATGATTTTATATGCTTAACTACCAGTATTGATTTTCCACTCCTCATACTATCATGGCTATACTGTACTGACAATGATCACAGAATAAGGCAGTGGTTCTCAACCTGGGGTCCCCAGATGTTTTTGACCTATAACTCCCAGAAATCCCAGCCAGTTTACCAGCTGTTAGGATTTCTGGGAGTTGAAGGCCAAAAACATCTGGGGACCCCAGGTTGAGAACCACTGGCATAAGGTCTATACTACCATCTCTGCCCAATATATAGCGCAGATCAGATCCAATTCTAGTTTTCTCATAACACAACATTTTGACCTAACTGTTGCTTCTGAAACTAACCTACTTCATAGGGTTATATGACAATTTTTTTTAGTAGAATGAGATGTTTACTGTTTTTGTATATCAAAAGAAGCAACTGCAATGAGCTCATTCCAAGAGCCACTGCAATACTTTCTTCCTGCACTGACTGTACTAGAAAGGTCAGGATTCTGCTTCAATGTTGGCAAAAAAGCTAGTTTTGAAGTTTTTGCAGCTGGCTGTTAAGGGGCAAAAAAGCCTCTTTATTATTATTTATTATTTATTTATTGCAAACATTTATATTCTGTGCTTCTCAACCCACAGGGGAGGGGGACTCAGGGCAGCTTACAACCGGTAACCATTAGATGCCAACAGCAAACAAACAATAACAGTACAAAACAGGTCACCATTCGATAAACCACAAGATTATAAATATCCATTAAAATTAAAATATTAAAACACAATCAAGTGCAAATCTCAAATGTTTTTTCTCATATGTTACATCCTAATAATAATAATAATAATAATAATAATAATAATAATAATGCTTTATTTATATTCCACCCTATCTCCCTGAAGGGACTTGGGGAGGATTCCAGCATACACAAACACAAAGGTAAATATTCAATGCCTAGAAACAAACATAATACAGATAAAGATAAAGGCTTCCCCTTCTGGCTATGAGGGGTGGTGCTCATCTCAATTTCTAAGCCAAAGAGCCTGCGTTGTCTGTAGACATCTCCTAGGTCATGTGGCCAGCATGACTGCCTGGAGTCCCGTTATCTTCCCGTCGAGGTGGTACCTATTGATCTACTCATATTTGCATGTTTTGAACTACTAGGTTGGCCAAAGCTGGAGCTAACAGTGAGAGCTCACCCCGCTCCCGGGTTCAAACCACCAACCTTCCAGTCAGCAAGTTTAGCAGCTCAGCGGTTTAACCCGTTGTGCCACCTCGGCCCCTTCTTCTTTAAGACTAGTCACAGTGAAGTTTCAAATTTTGTTCATGTTGTCCAAACTTTGGGGATCCTTTGGTGCCATCTTCAAGATGTTGGCAAACTATCCCCCCCACTGACCAGATGCTGCCCAATTATCAGGAAAAGCTAGCATATGTTCGTTTGTTTTTTCAGGTTCTTGAAATGAGTGGGTTTGCATAATAGAAAAGCCAATCTGTCTAAAGATAACTTACATATTTACATAATTTATTCTGTTTATGAAGAAGACAGTATTTGGCTTACTGAGGTACAACATTTTGTGTTTGCGCAGTGGTGAATACAAAATCTGCAATTAAAGCAATCCGCACAGAGACCATTCAGCTGTGAAAACATATTGTTAATAAAGATAAAACAAGACATCTCATTCCACCTCTTAAGTACTGTTTACTAATGGTTCCTCACCTGTACTCCGTAAAGAATGACAGCACTCAATCCAATCCAGCTGTGCAGGCTGTACATGTTAGCAATATTCTTAGCATTATGGAAATCAAAAACAGCCCTCAGTGAAACAACTGCCAGAGCGAAAGCAATAGAATTTAACCCAGCGTGGATTAATTTCATCAGGAGTTTGTGGCATTTCCAGGTCCATGGTAACCTGTACACAATTATTGCTAGAGATGGGAAAAGAAGAGAAGAAAAATGTGTAAGTCCAGAAAGAATCCACTTTCCCACAATATTAAAAAAATGTTCCTCTTTTATTCAAATTATATCTATCACCTTCTGAGACCTGAGCTAGATGAAGTGAACCTACGCAACTCAAAAGCCCAGCTCAAAGAAAGATTGGGACCTTTTCATTACCTTTGCGCAACACCGATACGGCATTCATCAATGGTGGGATTTGTGAAATAGCAGTGTTACCTAATACAGAACGTGTTTTGCAGCCCAAAACACCTGGAGGGTCAAAGTTTGCCCATGCCTGGTCTAATTCCTTTTTGTCTTTTGTCTCTTTGTTTTTGTTACTTTTAATAGTTGATTAATTGTAGTTTAATAGCAGTCAACAAACGTTTCTCAATCTAGGGGTTGGGACCCCTGGGGGGGGGTTGTGAAGGGGGTCTCAGAGGGCTCGCCAAAGGCCATCAGAAAACAGTATTTTTTGTTGGTCATGGGGGTTCTGTGTGGGAAGTTTGGCCCAATTCTATCATGGGAGGGGTTCAGAATGCTCTTTGATTGTAAGTGAACTATAAATCCCAGCACCTACAACTCCCAAATGTCAAGGTCTCTTTTCCCCAAACTCCATCTGTGTTCACATTTGGGCATATTGAGTATTAATGCCAAGTTTGGTCCAGATCTATCATCACTTGAGTCCACAGTGCTCTCTGGATATAGGTGAACTATTTATTTATTTATTTACAGCTACAACTCCAAAACTCAAAGTCAATGCCCACCAAACCCTTCCAGTATTTTCTGTTGGTCATGGGAGTTCTGTGTGCCAAGTCTGGTTCAATTCCATCATTGGTGGAGTTCAGAATGCTCTTTGATTGTAGGTGAACTATAAATCCTAACAACTACAACTCCCAAATGACAAAATCTAGCTACTTGTTGAGGACTGGAACTTGATGACACAAAGACTTATGCAGTCCAGGGATGAAACCCAACAATAAGTGTAGAAAATTGAGCAGACTTCTGATTACATGTCACAAAAGTCCCAAACCTGTACTATTCTTTTTATTCTCTGTACCTTTCCTAGTTGGATTGTAGAGAGAAAGTGGTCATTGGTGATAATGCCTAGGGAATTTGGAGAGTTATAGTCCAGAAAAGTAATTTTTCCAAGCTCTGCATCAAATCCGTATTTTTCCCCAGTTTGATTTCATCAACAAAACCTTTCCATTTGGCAGACAGTGATAGTGATTCAGTCACTCATTTGGATGCCTCCACTGTGCATTAGCTTAAATTAAGGCTGTTAAAAAGAAGCCGTTTCACTTATTTCAATCAGGTTCTCCCATTATATTGTTTATAGATTTTCAGAACAAAAGAGCAGATTAACTGACCGCTATAGAAATCCAAACATGCTTAAAAATACTTTTAGAAAAAAAAAACATGCACATGCAAAAAATAAAATAAAATAAGGGACAGAGCTCAAAACAAAATGCAGACTTGCATTTTGGAGGCTTCATTTTCAAGTCCTAGCATCTAAAAGGGGGTTGCCAAAAGTTAGGGGTCTCCTTGAACATTTGAAAATCTCCGAAACATATGTTTGGTGCTGTTGTGTGCCAAGACATGTCCAACTCATATTAATCAGTCTATTAATAAGGCAGTGAAGCCCAAGGAGGTTTTCTTATAGGTTTAGTGTTTGTAGGTCCTCAGAAGAACAGACAATTGACTAATGACTACTCACAGAAAGACCAAACCCAGACTATTGTTCTTCGTACCTCTCCCAAATGGGCCAAGAAGAAAACTGAAGAGGAGGCCAACAAAAAGTGTAAGCTCAGTTGCTCAGAAATATATGTAGGAGCCTCCAGTGGGACAACAGGCTAAACCCTTGTGCCGGCAGGACTGCTGACTGAATGTTGGAGGTTCGAATCTAGGAAGAGCTCCCAGCTCCCCATGCGGGGACATGAGAGAAGCCTCCCACAAGGTTGGTAAAACATCAAAACATCCGGGCATCCCTAGGGCAATGTCCTAACAGACAGCAAATTCATTCACACCAGAAGCGACTTGCAGTTTCTCAAGTCGCTCCTGACATGGAAAAAACATGTAAATCTTACTATTAAAAATACTCTACTCACTTTACTGTAAAAAGAGGGAGGAGGTGAAGTAGGTGTTTTGTCAAATAGGAATGGCCAGCCTTACCTATAAGGCTCTAAATCTTTATAACATTTTCTAAATTATGTATGCCAAGTTCTACATATCAACCCTATAAGTCATAAAGAAATCTCTGTTCTCAAATGGAATGTCCTGGCGCATGAAGAAATATATACCGGTATTTCTTCATGCTATAGGAAGCACAATATTGACATTTTAAGGCTTCTTTTCAAGTTTACCATGCATACATATTTTCACAGTTTGCATGCTCCCTCCTCTGCTCTGCCACCTGGGAAGGAAAACACATTCAATCCAAAAAGATGGTTGCCTTCTTTTCAGTATTGCAACAGATTGGCAAGAAACTTTTAATCATAATAGAATAAGAGAAGCTAAACTACTGAACACCTTCCTGAAGTCTATCCTATGTTTACATTCCAATAAATTCTTTTGGTTAAGATCCAGTGGGATACACTCCTTAGCAAACGTGTACAAGTGTCTAGCTTTATACGTAGTACAGTCTTCTACAATATTATTATTAATAGTAGCAGTAGGAGTACTACTACTACTACCCTGCTCTTCTCCCAGGACTGAGACCCAAAGCAGCCCACCGGCATATAAATGATAGTTTAAGAACTACAAAATATAAATATTAAGATGGAGTTAAATATTACAACAACTAAAACAATTAAAGACCTGTTTAAAAACCGGGTTGCTGTGAGTTTTCCAGGCTGTATGGGCCTGTTCCAGAAGCATTCTCTCCTGACATTTCACCTGCATCTATGGCAGGCATCCTCAGAGGTTGTGAGGTCTGTTGGAAACTAGGCAAGTAAGGTCTATATATCTGTGGAATGTCCAGGGTGGGCGAAAGAAGTCTTGTCTGATTGAGGCAAATGTGAATGTTGCAATTGGCCACCTTGATTAGCATAGAATCATAGAATCAAATAATTGGAAGAGACCTCATGGGCTATCCAGTCCAACCCCCTGCCAAGAAGCAGGAATATTGCATTCATATCACCCATGACAGATGGCCATCCAGCCTCTGTTTAAAAGCTTCCAAAGAAGGAGCCTCCACCACACTCCGGGGCAGAGAGTTCCACTGCTGAACGGCTCTCACAGTCAGGAAGTTCTTCCTCGTGTTCAGATGGAATCTCCTTTCTTGTAGTTTGAAGCCATTGTTCCGCGTCCTAGTCTGCAAGGCATAGAATGGCCTTGTAGATTCAACAGACCTCACAACTTCTGAGGATGCCTGCCATAGATGCAGGCAAAACGTCAGGAGAGAATGCTTCTGGAACATGGCCATATAGCCCGGAGAACAGCGGTATACAAATAAAGCAAATAAATAAATAAATAAGCAGCAGTGGGAAAGATGACAGGGCCAATTGGATTTGATGCGGATGGCTAGGATGGTTTTAAATGATGTATTTTAATATTTTGATAATTTTTTTAATGTTTATGTATTGTATGTGAATTTGTGTCCCAGCATTGATCGTTTGCCGTGTATATGCGGTGCCCTGAGTCCCCTTCGGAGTGAGAAGGGCGGAATATAAATGTTTTAAATAAATAAATAATTTGAATACGATTGAAAAATGCAGCTCGATACTGACAGCACAAAGTCAACAAAGAGACTTTTGTCACAAAGTCTTGCAAATCACTTCCTGCAAGTGCTTAGGTAACACTGATAAACAAGACACCAATCTAGGGATTCTTTGCCAATCCTGTTAAATCATTTTCTAAACCTACAAGTGATAAAAATGGATGGTATTGTCTCTCTGACCTGTCATTCTTGTAAAGTTTAAGGAATCTCTCCCCTCCTCACTGCTTACAACATGAGACAGCAATTTAACTAATCTAATCTATCCTAATTATTCCCCAAGTGCAAAGGAACAATGGACTCAAAAGCTCTAAATATTCAAACTGTTCCATAAGCCCAACATTAACATAAATAGGAAACACAGAAAATGACTGGGAAGGCTTTGTTGCGCAAGAGAAGAAGTCTGTTTCCAGATGTGATGATGCTGCCACGAAAAAATGCCAAGTCATTGTTGCAAGACCTGAATTTTGCTTTCTAGGGCCAAAAATAATTATGTAGCCAGAAAAATGGTCACTTGACATCTTGTGAAATACATCTGGTGGGTGCAGCAGTGTGGCAACATACGGAGGGCCACACGCTGCCCACTTGTGCTATAAACACTGCTATTACATTGATTATAATTAGGCTGAGAAAAACAAGCCAAGGGAAGAGAAACTGCTAATTTAAACAGATTGCATAATGTGACATGATTTTTGTTCCTGGGTTATAAATGTCATTTCCTAATTGGATTTATCCTAAAAACATGGGAAAAGTTTATTAAACTGCAAACACTTTGTTTTGGCAGGACATCCTACAGCACATTTGGCTATAATTTTTCAACGAATAGCTCATCCAGTCTCAACCAATTCAACATAATTTGTGGCAGCCACACAAATAAAATTTATGGAGAACAACTACTTTCAAACTAAGGACTGCACAATTAAACAGGAAATAACACTTTCAAACCAGGAGCAGATTTCTTTTTCAAATTTTGTTACATAGTATTAGTCCATTCCCCACCCCCCGACACACACACATATCCACATACTGTTCCTCCACAGATTCCACTATCCACAGTTTGAAAATACTTTTTTAAAATCCCAAAGGCAAACCTTGCTTGTATCTTTTTATATAAGAGACGCTATTTCATTTTGTCACTGTGTATAAGCCAGTCACTTCTGGTGTGAGAGAATCAGCCGTCTACAAAGACATTGCCTAGGATGTGTTACTATCCTCTGGGGAGGCTCCATCAATGTTCAACATTTACACAAATGACCAGCCACTGCTAGAAGGGACAGCGAGTTTCATTTATGCTGACGATCGTGCCATCAACGCTCAAGCTGGGAGCTTTGAAATGGTTGAACAGAAGCTCTCAGAAGCTTGAGGTGCTATTACTGCCTATTACAGGGAAAACCAGCTGATTCCTAATCCGTCTAAAATGCAGATGTATACTTTTCATCTTAAGAACAGACAAGCATCTTGAACTCTGAGGATTACCTGGGAAGGAATCCCACTGGAGCATTGCAGCACACCCAAATACCTGGGAGTCACGCTGGACCATGCTCTGACTTATAAGAAGTACTGCTTGAATATCAAGCAAAAAGTGGATGCTAGAAATAATATTGTACGAAAACTGACTGGCACAACTTGGAGATCACAACCAGATACAGTGAAAACATCTGCCCTTGCGCTTTGCTACTTTGCTGCTTAGTACGCATGGTCCAGTGTGGAACACATCTCACCACGTTAAAACAGTGGATATGGCTCTTAATGAGACATGCCACATTATCACAGGATGTCTACACTCTACACCAATGAAGAAATTATAATATTTAGCTGGTATTGCACCACCTGACATCTGCCAGGAAGTAGCAGCCAATATGAAAGGACCAAGGCAGTGACATCTCTGGCCCATCTTCTGTTTGGATATCAGCTAGCAAACCAATGCCTTAAATCAAGAAACAGCTTCCTAAGATGTAAAGGGATGCTCAAAGGAACCACTCAGTAAGCAAGAGTCCAAAAATGGCAGGTTACAACCCAGAACCTCAATCAGTGGCTGATACCAGATGATAAACTCCCTTCTGGGCACACAAAAGACTGGGCGACTTGGAAGGGGCTGAACAGACTGCACTCTGGCACCAAGAGATGCAAAACCAACCTTAAGAAATGAGGCTACAAAGTGAAGTCCACAACATGTGAGTGTGGAGAAGAGCAAACCCACAGAACACCTACTACAATGAAACCTAAGCCCTGCCACATGCACAATGGAGGACCTTCTTATAGCAACACTAGAGGCACTCCAAGTGACCAGCTTCTGGTCAAAGGACATTTAGCATAATGCCAAGTTTTTAACTTTGTGTTTTTTAAAAATATGTACATTATATCTGTATTCTCAATTCAATTCTGAGATGGTAAATAAAATAAACTGTATATAAGAGAACTTGGGTATCCATGGATTTCAGTATTCACGGGTTCTGTGTGTGTCTGGAACCAAACTCCAACAGATATCTCATACAAGGACCAAGTAGCAACAGTAAGAACTGACCACAGAACAACAGACTGGTTCAAGATTGGGAAAGGCGTATGGCAGGGTTGTATACTCTCACCCAACCTATTCAACTTGTATGCAGAACACATCATGCAATGTGCAGGGCTTGACGAATGCAAGGCTGGGGTAAAAATTGCTGCAAGAAACATTAACAACCTTATATATGCAGATGATACCACTTTGATGGCCGAAAGCGAGGAGGAGCTGAGGAGCCTTCTAATCAAGGTGAAAGAAGAAAGCGCAAAAGCTGGGTTGCAGTCAAACAACAAAAAAGCCAAGATTATGGCAACTGGACTGATTAACAACTGGCAAACAGAAGGAGAAAACGTGGAGGCAGTGACAGACTTTGTATTTCTAGGTGCAAAGATTACTGCAGACGCAGATGGCAGCCAGGAAATCAGAAGACGTTTACTTCTTGGTAAGAGAGCAAAGACCAATCTCGATAAAATAGTGAAGAGTAGAGACATCACACTGGCAACAAAGATCTGCTTAGTTAAAGCAATGGTATTCCCCGTAGTCACCTTCAGATGTGAGAGCTGGACCATAAGGAAGGCTGAGCGAAGGAAGATCGGTGCTTTTGAACTGTGGTGTTGGAGGAAATTTGGAGAGTGCCTTGCACCACCAGAAGATCCAACCAGTCCATACTTCAGGAAATAAAGCCCGACTGCTCATTGGAGGGAAGGATAGTAGAGGCCAAGGTGAAGTACTTTGGCCATATCATGAGAAGACAGGAAAGCTTAGAGAAGACAATGATGCTGAGGGGAAAAGGTAGGAAAAAGGAAGAGGGGCCAATCAAGGGCAAGATGGATGGATGGCATCCTTGAAATGACTGGATTGACCTTGAAGGAGATGGAGGTGGTGACGGCCAACAGGGAGCTCTGGTGTGGACTGGTCCAGGAGATCACAAAGAGTCGGAAGCGACTGAATGAATGAGTAACAACAAATGTAGGATATAGGGCTGTGTGGAAGGAGCCTCAGATAACTCAGGGCCCTTCCACACAGCCCTATATCCCGGAATATCAAGGCAGAAAATCCCACATTATCTGAGTGTGGACTCCGATATTTCAGTTGTGGGATTTTCTGCCTTGGTATTCGGGGTTACAGGGCTGCGTGGGAGGGCCCGGAGTGGTGCCTTGAATCTGCATTATCTCTTTTCTGCAGATGTCAACAGAAAGAGCCAAGGAGAAGAGAGCAGGGAGGGGGCCGCGCCTACACTGCCCTAGAATGGCGTTTTAGAAGGCAGATTCCAGCTGCATAGACCTCTATAGCAGCCAACCAGCTCTATGCAGGTATGGGGTGCAGAGCCCTTCTTTAAAGAGATGCACCCCAAATCCCCCGCAAGGGAAGAACCCCAAGTGGCAAAAAAAGCGGCAGAGGACGCAGCCTAGCAAGAGGAGATGCCAATGGAGTGGGAGCCTTGCAAGTGCCTCGCCTTCTCCTGCAAACCCCAGGCTCCCAGAGCATGGAGGGAAGGCAGTTCACTCGCACTGGTGCCGCAGTGCACGGAGTTGTTTTCCCCACAGCTGCCTTCTGCACCGCAGAGCGCGACTTCGCCAGGAGTTTGGGGAGATTCCTTCTTCCTCTCTTCCCACCCCGATAACAGGGCACAATAATAACTTTTGTTTGTGGCTTGTCCTCTTGGCCAAAGCCTCCCCCCCCCCCTTAGGTACGCACCGAGGCCCTGGATGAAGATGAAGCCCGTGACCATGAGGACCGGGTGCCAGTTGAACTCGCGGGCGTCGCCGTCCCAGCCGAGGCCCTCGCGGTAGTAGCAGGTCCACACCAGGGAGAAGCTCACCGCCGCCAGGCCCAGGAGCACCGCCACCAACAGCAGGGCCAGGAACAGCCACAAGCCCTTCATCCTCGCCCTGCTCGTCTGCCTGCCTGCCTCTTCTGCCGCGGCCAGGACCCCGGGAGAGAGGAACACTCCGAGGCGAGGCGAGGCGGGGCCAGGCAGGGCTTCCCTCCCGTTGGAAGGAGGGAGAGAGAGGAGAGGAGAGAAGGAGAGAAGGAGGTCCTTTGGCTTGAGAGAAGCCCCCCCCTCCCCTCCCCTCCCTGCAGAACCGACTTCTTTATTTACTTTGGCCCGTCCAGCTGTTTTGGGCTTTAGTCATCCTGTACTCATTCCTCCCTCCCTCCCTCTCTTGCTCTTACATAGGAATTGTTGGAGTTCAAAACACCTCGAGGGCCGGAGTTTGCCCATGCCTGCTTGATTTATTTGTTTATTTATCGTGTCAGGAGCAAGACAAAACAGTTGTATTGCATTACAAACAAACAAACAAAACACAAAGTTTGCAGACTTGGTATTCTATTAAATGTCCTTTGACCAGTATCTGGCCACTTGGAGTGCCTCTGGTGTTGCTGCAAGAAGGTCCTCCATTGTGCATGTGGCAGGGCTCAAGTTGCATTGCAGCCAGGGGCAGCTCAATCCATTACGCAAAGTAAGCATTTGCAGTATAGTTGATTTTGCCCAGGGGCGCTCTTGAGGCGCTCTTGGGGAAAAATAGACCTTGACATATGCGAGTTGCACTTACTGGGATGTATAGTTCACCTACAATCAAAGAGCATTCTGAACTCCACCAATGATGGAATTGAACCAAATATGGCACACAGAACTCCCACGACGAACAGAAAATATATATCAGTGATTGGTTGGGGGCACGCAAAATACTGTTTGTTTACTATTGAAAATTACCTAGGGCCACCTCTGGTTGTTGGCGTGCTGGCTGATATCCAAACAGGAGATGGGCCAGAGATGTCACTGTCTTGGTCCTTTCACTACTGGTTGCTACTCCCCAGCGGATGCCAGGTGATGCAATACCAGCTAAACAGTGTAAATTCTTACATACCTGCTGAAGGCACACAACAACTAAAATCCTAGTTAACTCAGCTACCTTATCAGCCAAAAGCAGGCCCACACTTTCCATTGAAATGCTGGTCAGTTTATCTTGGTTAGAATTCTTCTTCCTTCTAAATGTTGTATGGTTCTTTCATATACATTTTTTCACACAACAAATCTATATAAATAAAAATGTAATGTTCATTTATGGGATTAACATAACTTAAAAACCACTGGACAAACTGACATCAAATTTGGACACAATACACCTATCAGGCCAACGAGGGACTATCACTCATAAAAACACTGAAAAACACAATGGAGGGGGCTTAAAAGCCAACTCCCTTCACCAGGGCAAGAATACACAATCAAAGGCCTCCTGACAAAGAGCCATCCAGTCATAGATATAGATATATATGATTCACACACAGAGAAATATAGTATCATAGATTTGAAAGGGACCCCTAAAGAAGGACAATGATATGTTGCATGTTCCAGAGTAGGCAAACCAGACAATCTCCACATCAACACTGACAAAGAAGCAGCAAGAAATACTGTTTACCCACAAGCATAAAGAAATTACATATATTAGAAACCAACACTTTCTCATTACTTTATTTTCCACATCGACAGACTGGGCCACAGCAATGCATGTCAGGGGACAGCTAGTCTATATAAATAAAAATGTAATGTTAGTTTGTGGGATTAACATAACTCCAAAACCACTGGATGAATTGACACAAAATTTGGACACAATACACCTATCAGGCCAACGAGTGACCATCACTCATAAAAACACTGAAAAACAAAACAGAAGAGGCTTAAAAAGCAAAAAAACAAAAAAACAAAAAACAAACAAACCCAACAACATTACATCATATGTGCAAAACCACATATATACACATATCACACATATATACACATATACACAAATATATACACCCATATATACACACAAAACACATATACACAGATTGGGCCACAGCAACGCGTGGCAGGGGACGGCTAGTAAGATATATGCAGTGTATAGGCCAGCCCAGTCTGAGGAACCTTGAAGTAACTCTCAACTTGGTAAGTTTGAGGACCCGTGATCTACAGTGTAAATACAGTCTTGTTTAAATAATTTTTATTAAAGTTTCCAATAAAATAAAATAAACAAAAATAAAAAGGGGGAAAGCTAGGTGTAGGTTAAGGTTTAGGGGTTTGGATTGTGTAGGAGCGGGGAAAGAGGGGGAAAGGTTGAAAAGTGGACAAAGGGGGGGGGAGTGGACAAAGGGGTTTTTGTGAACTTCCAATCTTTGTCTTCATTCCTCGAACATCCTTGACCCCTGTATATATAGTGGAAACCTTGAGTTAAGAGCATTTTGAGTTAAGAGCTCTTGCTCAGCCAATGTTTCACTTTGACATAAGAGCAGCATTTTGAATTAAGAGCTAGTGCCAGTTGCAGCGCTAGCACCAAAGTACAGGGCTTTAGGGCTTCAAGGGAGCAGCCTCTGTGTCTTGTGCTCTTGTCCGCTTTGGGGGATTGTTGTCCGCTTTTCTCTTGTCTGCTTTGAGAAACTTTGGGTTAGTTGATTTTGTGTGGTTTTTATTCCTGATATGTTTGGCTTCATGAAGAGGGAGAGGAGAGAGAGGCGGGAGGCTGAAATGAGTACAGTATGAATAAAATGCTGCTTCTGCCTCTCCAATTTGTGCTTTGTGCTTTTACCATTTTAAAGTTGATTTTTTCTTTTTTATTGTTCCATGTGAATGTTCATTTATACAGTATTTGTTGTTTATAAAGTACATTTTCTTATATAAAAACATGTAACAAAAATGGGTGGGGGTTGGAACGGATTAATAGAAATTCAGTGGTAAGATATGCTTTGAGTTAAGAGTGTTTTGAGTTAAGAGCTTGTTGTGGAACAAATTAAACTCTTAAGTCAAGACATTACTCTTTAACTATTCTTTATGGGGCTTTTACACCCAACATACTAAGAATGAAATAATATACACTAATTATGGAATTTGGTTGTGAAAAACATAGGACATTTTCACATCAGGAAATGCTCAGTTTCATTCAGTATGCATCCCCTATTTTTTTTAACCGAATGCATACTGTACTCGGATGGGATGCATACTGTTTCCATCACACCCAATTACTACTATTTTTTCAAAGCTGGTTATTACAGTAGACATGGTTCCATTGTTGCAATTATTGCTGATGTTGCTTTGTTTAGTAATTCAGTTCTACGAAGCTGAATTCGAGGCACTGGAGAGGCAAATAAGCCTCCTGTCAGCACTACTTCTCCTTTCAAGAAGGCATGACAGATGTTTCTTTGAAATCTTTGCTGACTGAGTCATCGGAGCAGACGTGGTGCCCTTATATAGGAAGGGGGTACCCCAAAGCCAAGATGAGGAAGGAATTTAGGAGGTTTTGGTAGTCGGATGGCTAATTAAGAAAAGGAAGCATTTAAATCTTTATCGCAAACAATCCCATACATATCTAGGGATGGAAGTACTACACTGGCCCAGATACCTTTTGGTGCCTCAAATGTTAGATCTGTTTCTGGGTATATTTGACCTACTGATTAAAAATGGCACCAGATTTCCTGAATGAGCTCTAGTTTTTGAAGTGCAGAACATATGTCATATATCAGTCACTATCTGCTTGCCCCAGAGAAAACATGATATCCATATTTAAGTAACTAGAGCTGATGTGATCTATCCTATGCATTTTTCCAAATCAGTGTCTCAAATAACAGGCCTTAAAACCAAGACACCAATTTTGTTGTTGTTGTTGTTGAGTTGTGCTCTTAGGAAAAAGGAGAACTTACGGCAGAACTTTCCAAACACTTCATGTTGGTGACAAACTTTTCAGAAATGTATCATTTTATGACACAATAATTCAGTTGTACTAAGAAATCAGAGGTTAAACCAGTGGTTCCCAGCCTGTGGTCTGTGGACCACTAATGGTCCCCAAGAACTAAAACATGGTCAGCGGCCTCACCATTACTATACCGTTACAACGAGAGTGACTGATCTTGTACAAGTCAGTTATAGTGCCAAGGCAATGGGGATGTCGGGGAGGGGGGGGGGGAGGCTGACTACCCACAAAAGGCGCAACAAGCCTCCTGATTCCTGCTTCTCCCCCTCCCCCTTCCCCAAGTGGAGCCATTACATGTGGCCCCTGGAAGTGGGGGTGCCTTGTGTATTTCTTTTTAAGCCAGTTCCTGGGGTTATTTGGGGTTCTGATTTAGAAAATTTCATTAGATAGACCACATCAGCTCTAGATTATTAAATATGGTTTTTCTGTGGGCAAGGAGATGGCGACTACTGGATGCCATGTGTTCTGTATCAGAAACTGGAGCTGATGTGGTCTATCCAATGCAGTTTTTGGGATCAGCACCCCAAATAACCAAACTGAATCTAAAGTTGACCAAAAACGGATTCATAGCCCTTTGGTGCTAATGTTGGAGAGTGGTTCCTGGTCAAAATGGTTCCTGGTCAAGTGGTCCCTGGTCAAAAAAAGGTTGGGAACCACTGGATAAACAAACCCCTATATCCTTTCTTACATAAATTGTAATAATGAAATGTATGAAGACACAACATATCTCATGAAAATCTTTCATACACACACACACACACACATAATATGATTGGTAAAATAATAACATCAATTTCCAACATTTTTGTCATCATTATGTTTGCACAACACCCCTATGCGCTGCAGGCAACACACTAAGGTGTTGTGACACGGAGTTTGGAAAGCTCTGACATATAGATATATCAACCTAAGACTGGATAACTGTCAGATGCTAGGTGGCAATTTTGCCTTCTGGATCTTGGAGGCCACATACACCCGCCACTCAATAAATAGATATTTGCATTAAAATTGTCATTATTCAGCCAGAAATGAGTGGAACATGGATTTATGAGCCACTTCCTATTGAGTGGGGAAAGTAGCTTCCTGGGGCTAAAAGGAATGTAATAAAATGGCCACCCACCCCACAGGACACTTTAGGGAATTTTGACATTATTTCCCCCATCAATGGGACTGGTGGGTGGGAGCAGTGCTGCGGGGTTTTTGGAACATTTTGTTTCTCAACG